TATTATAATTTGATAGAGATCACATTATCTGTACATTGTTTTGGGAAGTCACTTTAACAATATTGAGCCTTCCAATCCAAAAGCATGGGGTATCTTACCATTTCTTTGGATCATCTTGAAGATTTTGGACACAGTGTTAAAAGACATAACTCTGACATCAACAGCTGAAAAGGGCAGGGTGGAGCAGTAAAGGAGCAAAGACGTTGGTGTGTTATTTAAGTACATAAACTAGAGTGTTATGCCTTTAGCACTTTAAAAGCAATCTCTATGACAACTGCAAAGAAAATACTTGTGAATATACAAGAAAAAAAATAAGAAAGGAATTTAAATATTTCCCTATCCCGCAAGGCTTCCCGTGTAGCTCAGTCTGTAAAGCATCTACCTGCAGTGCAGGAGACTTGGGTTCAATTTTTGGGTCAGGAAGTTCCCCTGGAGAAGGAAATGGCAACCCGCTCTAGTATTCTTGCCTGGAGAATCCCATGGACAGAGGAACATGGTGGACTGTATAGTTCACGGGATTGCAAGAAAGAGTCAGACATGACTTAGCACTATCTCTCTAACTCCCCAAAATCAACTAAGCACAATAGTAGATAGTAATAGAGAATGAGAGACAAAAAAACTGTAAGACATATGGAAAACAAATAGCAAGATGAAGGAATTCCTTATCAGTAAATAGTTTAAATATAAATAATGGGGAAATAGTGGAAACAGTGGCAAGTTTTATTTTATTGGGCTCTAAAATCACCGTGGACGGTGACTGTAGCCATGAAATTAAAAGACGCTTGCTCTTTGAAAGGAAAGCCGTGACAAACCTAGACAGCATATTAAAAAGCAAAGACATCACTTTCCCGACAAAGGTCCATATAGTCAAAGCTGTGGTTTTTCTAGTAATCATGTACACATGTGATAGTTGGACCTGAAAAAAGGCTGAGTGCTGAAGAATTGATGCTTTCAAATTGTGAAGACTCTTGAGAGTCCCTTGGACAGCCAGAGATCAAACCAGTCAATCCTAAAGGAAATCAACCCTGAATATTCAGTGGAAGGACTGATGCTGAAGCTGAAGCTCCAGTACTTTGGCCAGATGATGTGAAGAGCTAACTGATTGGAAAATATCTTGATTCTGGGAAAGATTGAGGGCAGGAGGAGAAGAGGGCAAGAGAGGATGAGATGGTTGGATGGCATCACCAACTCAATTGACATGAGTTTGAGCAAGCTCCAAGAAATAGTGAAGGAGAAGGAAGCCTGCAGTTCAACAAGTTGCAGAGTTGGACAGGACTGAGTGAGTAATCCTTTCACTTACGTGAAAATGGGGATAAGAGTTGGAGATGAGAAGAAAGCTGGCATAGATTTCCAGTCAAGAAATAATGGTGATGTAAAGCAGGATAGAAGCAGCTAGTTATAGGAGTGGATTGGTTTTAGTTTTTTTAGGCAATTTAAATTAGACCAGTTATTACTTGAAACTCTAAAATTGAAAATTAGGTTTATTCTCCTGAGCAAAATATAAGTTGAGAGGAGGATTTATCAGAAACCAATAATGTAGGAAGTATAAACTCTAAAGAAATAATATTAAGTAAGCTATTCTTTGGTATTATCCTTTTCACTGCTCCTCTTAATAGTAAAAATAGTAGCTTCTACCAAATTTTATGCACCTAAATAATTGTAGTCACCTATTTTTGCATTTGAGGACAACAATGAGTAATGACTACATCATGCATAGACCTTCAGCTTCTTTTACACTTAGTGTCTAGTCCTATTTAGAATAGTCAGTAACATCATAGTATCAGACAGTTGGAAATAAGAGTCCCATGACCCACTGGTGAAATTTGAGGAGGAATTCAGTCAAACTTAATTTAATAATCTATTGGCAGATAATAATATTCTCTGTCATTAAGCAGTTGAAAGAAACTGTATAATTAGACTTTTATTTTTCTTAAACTTTTTATTTTGAAATTATTATAGACTCACAGAAGTTGCAAATATAGTTCATAGTGTCCCATAAACCCTTCACCCAGATTCTCTGTAGAATGACATCTTATGATATTGCAGGTCAAAACCATGACATTGACATTGGTATAACACTGTTAACTGAACTACAGACCTTATTCAGTTCTCTCAACAGTTTTTACTTGTACTCATTTTTGTGTGTCTGTTTAATTCTCTGTGACTTGATCCCATGTGTATTTTTTTGTGACATTGCAGTAATGATACAAAACTGTTGCATTACAAAGAAAATTCTTTATGTAACTCCTTTTTATAATCATACTCATTCCTCAGTTCTGTTTCCTTGCCATCATGTATCTGTTCTTCATCTTTATAATAATTTTGTCATTTCAAGAATGTAATCATGCAATATGTAATATTTTTAGATCAGCCTTTATTTTTTCTCTCAAAGCATAATGCCCTTGAGGGCCATCCAAGTTATTGCATATATCAGTGGTTTTTTTTTTTTTTTTTTTCCTCAGTTATAGTCCCTCAGTGTGTGGATGTTTCCATTTCTTTAACCCCACTAACTCATTGTAGGACATTTGTATTGTCTTCAGTCTTTTGGCTGTTCCAAATAAACTTACTATTGAGACTCATATTACAGATTTTCATTTGAGCATAAATTTTCATTTCTGTGATATAAATGCCCTAAAGTGTAACCACTGGGTCACACGGTAAGTGTATCATTGTTTATAAGAAATGGCCAAAAGGAACTTTGCAGAATGTCTGTAACATTTCATATTATCACCAGTTGTTGTATGTGAGATACCTTCTCTTCATCCTTACCAGCATTTGGTGTTTTCTTTGTTTTATTTTTGCTTTACAAATAAGTGTGTACCTTGTTGTGGTTGTAGTTTGCCTTTTTCTAATGGCTAATGTGTTTCAGGTGTTTATTTGCTATCCATATACCCTCTTTGCTTGAAATGTGTGTTTATGCCTTTGGCCCGTTTTTATAGTTGAATCATTTATTGTTGAGCATCAGTCTTTTGATTAATACTTACTTTGCAGTCAAAATTTATGTACAGGCACTGAAGTGCAGTGTGTATGTATGTTTCTTTCATGAATGATCACCAAATGATCGTGTGTAACCATGTGCTTTTTAGTGACTTACCTGAATTATATTCAATGCAAGGAGGCAGTTTAGACACCTACCCTGTGACCTCAGACATTTTACTTAGCTCTACTGAGCATGTTTTCTCAGCCCATGAAATGGGGAGAAATATATTTTAATTCCATTAATACTGTGAAATAGCTAACATTGCTCTGAAAAGATAAGGTATATTGTCAAACCTCTCCCCCATATTTTTAGAATTTACTTTTTATTGTCTAGGGGACAGTTGATCCATCGTTGCCTGTGATTTCAGTCCTTTTCACAGTCAAGAGTATCTTAAATCAGAATGAAGATGTAATTTCATGTTCCTGAAAGGATTCTTTCCCCACACACAACTCTGATTTAAGAGGAAAAAAAACTTAGTAGGATAAAATTAAAATAATCAGTGTAAAGATTGTCAAGAAAGGTGCCTTGAATAGAGAAAAGGTTGCTAAAAGGTGCCCTAAGGCAGCTGAGAAAACCACTTTTCTCCTAAGAGGGAAGCTTAAGGAACCAAAATATCAGGAGAGTACTCTGTTCTTGTACTCTATTCTGGCCTGGAGCCAGAATCCTTTTGGGACTTAGGCCTTGGCTATACTGTAAGAGAGGGTACAGATTTGCTTGCTATCTGTCAAAGCATTGCTCTGCTGCTGTCCTGTAAAAACTAATTCCAAAGGTTGTTGTCTAAATGTCAGTATATGAAATTAGTATGAAGATAAAATATATCACAGGCACATCTTCCTTCAAGTTATTGAAATTTGTACTTTTTAAAATCAGGTGGCTAAGTAGCAGTTACATATAATCAAGTATATATACTTATAACTATGTATATGATATATATGTATTTTATATATGTGTGTGTGTGTGTATAGATAGATAGATAGATAGATAATAGTTATGTATAATGATGTATAACTAGATTGAGTTTAAATCCTGACTCTGACCTTCATACTGTTAAGGTTTTGGTCAGGTTACTTAACCTTTCTGTGTCTTCTAATCTGAAAGAGGTATTAGGATTATTCTGTAGGATTATTCTGAGGATTAAATGAGATCATAAATTCAAAACACTTGTAACAATTCCTGGCTAAGTTATTATTACCTGATTAGTGAAGTACTTCTCTAGGAAATTGCTGGTGAGAAAATTAGATCTTTTAGCTGACGATGTTCATCTATGAATATATTGCCCTCAAGGAGAATTTTACAGAACTTTTTTTTTGTTAGTATATATATACGTATACACACACACACACACACACACATATCATTCCAGCTAATGCTTGGGATTTTTAAGTATGCTCAGTTTGGTGGCACTGACAACAAAATTTTGTTTAATATGACATGTTTATGAATAAAGAGAAGTACAGGAAGTTCTGTATGTTTGCGGAAGAAACATTTTACCTAGTCTGTAATGACTGTGTATGATTGATGAGTGGAGCAGAAAGCGAAGTTCTTCTGGAACAGATGATCCTGTGGGATGAATGTGGGGAGAAACATTCTATACAAAGGAAGTGCATTAGTTGTTTTTTGTTTGTTTGATTTTGTTTTTAAAGGCAGAGAAAGGAAGCTGAATACTAGATTGAAAAGAAAGGTAGGACTAATTATAAGAACCATCTAAAATGTGAAATGGGAGTGTCAAATAAAGCTTTAGTTAGGCAAAGAGGAGCTGTTGAGATTTTTTTTTCTTGTTTTATTGAGAAATAACTTACGTATATCACTGTGTAATTTTAAGTTGTGCAGCCTAATGGTTTTATTTACATGTTATGAAATGATCCCCATAGTTAGTTTCAACTGAAAATTTTTAAAGTTTCGGAAATTTTAACATTTTTCATGTTTTAGAACTTGTTTGAGTCTGTAATAGTAAATTCTTAATTTCTGTAAGCCAATAGTCCTTATAGTCATGCTAAAATTTTTTTATTATTTTTTAAAGGATTTCAGTTTGTGGAAATGAGCAGTCGTAAATCAAAGAGTAGCAACTTAATACAAGCAGACTACCTTTCACAGGTTAGTGTATATTTTCATTAATCTGAAGGCCTGATAAGAGAAACAGTTATCTTCTTAACTTGAATTCTCCCCTTATTATGTATGAAGAACAACTCTTTCCACTGTCAAGGGAAAAGTTTCTTTGCTGCTTCCTAATTTCAACCTCTGTAAATCTTTGGATAGATGGAATCCTAATTTTATTCATGTCTTCCTATATGTTCTTAAGTTTCATTTTAGTTTAATACTATCTTTAGAGGTTTTCACTTTTTTAGGTAAGTTTATTGAAAAGTATTTTATTCCTTTTGTTGCTGTTGTTAATGAGATTGTTTTCTTACTTTTATGTTTTATTTGTTGCTAGTGTTTCTAAATGAAATTGATTTTTCTATATTAATCTTGTATTCTGTAACCTTGATGAGCTCATTTATAATAGGTTGTTTTTTTTTAGTTTATTCCTTTGGATTTTCTGTATATAAGATCTTGTCATCTTCAAATAAATATAGTTTTACTTCTTCCTTTCCAATCTGTATGCCTTTCATTTCTTTTTCTTGTCTAATTGCCATGAATAGAACCTTCAGTATAATACTGAGTAAGCTAGCAAGAGCAGACCATCTTTTATATTGGGAAGATGTATTCAGTCTTTTACCACTGAGTATGATGTTAAATGTGGGCTTTTGTGGATGTTAACAGGTTGAGAACGTCTCCTTATATTCCTAATATGTTTAGTGTTTTTATCATGGACATTTTAAGTGTATACATCTCTTGAGGAGTCTAGTTGGGAATGGGTATGATATTTCTACACTAGCGTAACCAGAACTACATTTTTTTAAAGCAAAAACTAAATGTTATTGACATTCCTTTGTAATACCTTACTTACCTTCTGTTTAAATGAAAATGTTTAATTATGCTTTTAAAAATACTGGACTGGAATGGATGAATTTTAACTCAGATGACCATTATATTTACTACTGTGGGCAAGAATCCCTTAGAAGAAATGGAATACCAATCATAGTCAACAAGAGAGTCCAAAATGCAGTACTTGGATGCAAACTCAAAAATGACAGAACGATATCTTTTGTTTCCAAGGCAAACCATTCAGTGTCAGAGTAATCCCAGTCTATGCCCTGACCAGTAATACTGAAGAAGCTGAAGTTGAATGGTTCTATGAAGACCTACAAGACCTTCTAGAACTAACACCCAAAAAAGATGTCCTTTTCACTACAGGGGACTGGCATGCAAAAGTAGGAAGTCAAGAGATACCTGGAGTAACAGGCAAATTTGGCCTTGGAGTACAGAATGAAGCAGGGCAAAGGCTGATAGAGTTTTGCCAAGAGAATGGACTTGTCATAGCAAACACCCTCCTCCAAGAACACAAGAGAAGACTCTACACATGGATATCACCAGATGGTCAACACCGAAATCAGATTGATTATATTCTTTGCAGCTAAAAATAGAGAAGCTCTATACAGTCAACAAAAACAAGACTGGGAGCTGACTATGGCTAAGATCATGAACTCCTTATTACCAAAATCAGACGTAAACTGAAGAAAGTAGGGAAAATGACTAGACTGTTCAGGTATGATCTAAGTCAAATTCCTTATGATTATACAGTGGAAGTGACAAATAGATTCAAGGGACTAGATCTGATAGTCAGAAATCCTTAAGAACTATGGACAGAGTTCGTGACATTGTATAGGAGGCAGTGATCAAGACCATCTCCAAGAAAAAGAAATACAGAAAGGCAAAGTGGTTGTCTGTGGAGGCCTTACTAATAGCTATGAAAAGAAGAGAAGCTAAAGGCAAAGGAGAAAAGGAAAGATATACCCATTTGAATGCAGTGTATCAAAGAATAGCAAGGAGACATAAGAAAGCCTTCCTCAATGATAAATGAAAAGAAATAGAGAAAAACAATAGAATGGAAAAGACTAGAGATCTCTTCAAAAAATTAGAGATACCAAGGGAACATTTCATGCAAAGATGGGCACAGTAAAGGACAGAAATGGTATGGACCTAACACAAGCAGGAGATATTAAGAAGAGGTGGCAAAAACACACAAAAGAACTATACAACAAAGATCTTCACAACCCAGATAATTACGATGGTGTGATTACACACCTAGAGCCAGACATCCTGGAATGCAAAGAAAGTGGGCCTTAGAAAGCATCACTAGGAACAAAGCTAGTGGAGATGATGGAATTCAAGTTGAGCTATTTCAAATCCTAAAAGATGATGCTGTGAAAGTGCTACACTCAATATGTCAGCAAATTTGGAAAATTCAGCAGTGGCACAGGACTAGAAAAGGTCAGTTTTCATTCCAATCCCAAGAAAGGCAATGCCAAAGAATGCTCAAACTACTGCACAATTGCACTAATCTCACATGCTAGCAAAGTAACACTCAAAATTCTCCAAGCCAGGCTTCAACAGTACGTGAACTTCCAGATGTTCAAGATAGATTTAGCACTGGCAGAGGAACCAGAGATCAAATTGCCAATATCCATTGGATCATCAAACAAGCAAGAGAGTTCCAGAAAAACATCTACTTCTGCTTTATTGACTATGCCAAAGCCTTTGAGTGTGTGGATCATGAAAACCTGGAAAATTCTTAAAGAGATGGGAATACCAGACCACTTGACCTATCTCCTGAGAAATCTGTATTTCCTGAGAAATCTGCAGGTCAAGAAGCAACAGTTAGAACTGGACATGGAAAAACAAACTGGTTCTGAATTGGGAAAGGAGTACGTCAGGGCTGTATAGTGTCACCCTGCTTATTTAACTTATATGCAGAGTACATCGTAAGAAATGCTGAACTGGAAGAAGCACAAGCTGGAATCAAGATTGCCAGGAGAAATATCAATAACCTCAGAAATGCAGATGACACCACCCTTATGGCAGAAAGTGAAGAAAACTAAACAGCTGCTTGATGGAAAGAGGAGAGTGAAAAAGTTGGCTTAAAACTCAACATTCAGAAAACTAAGATCATGGTATCTGGTCCCATCACTTCATGGCAAATAGATGGGGAAACAGTGACAGAGTTTATTTTGGGGGCTCCAAAATCACTGCAGATGGTGACTGCAGCCATGATATTAAAAGACGCTTGCTCCTTGGAGGAGAAGTTATGACCAACCTAGACAGCATATTAAAAACAGAGACTTTACTTTGCCAGTAAAGGTCCATCTGGTCAAAGCTATGGTTTTTCCAGTGGTCATGAATGGATGCGAGAGTTGGGCTATAACGGAAGCTGAGTACTGAAGAATTGATGCTTTTGAACTGTGTTGTTGGAGAAGACTCTTGAGAGTCCCTTGGACTGAAAGGAGATCCAACCAGTCCATCCTAAAGGAAATCAGTCTTGAATATTCATTGGAAGGACTGATGCTGAAGCTGAAGCTCCAGTACTTTGGCCACCTGATGTGAAGAGCTGGCTCATTGGAAAAGACCCTGATCCTGGGAAAGATTGAAGTTGGGGGGAGAAAGGGATGACAGAGGATGGATGGTTGGATGACATCACTGACTCAATGGACCTGAGTTTAAGTAAACTCCGGGAGTTGGGGATGGACAGGGAGACCTGCCGTGCTTCAGTGCATGAGGTCGCACATAGTCGGACACGATTGAGTGACTAAACTGAACATATCTTTGTAAATAGTGCAGATCTTCCCCGTGCACCTGAATTAATTTCTATACATGTACATACATGTTTAACTTTCACATCAACTCACTTTAGAATTTTGGAACCTCTGAATATTCACTACAGCTTCTCTTCACTTTTTCTGTATCTTGTATTTTATTCATACTTGTCTCTCTATAGACTTTAATGACGCTTACAACAAGAAAAACTGAGGTTTGTCTTTTGACTTGCAGTTATCTAGGGGGAGGAATACACACTATGATTAGTTGGATGTATGTTTGCTTCTTTAGGTTTTTTATAGATATCAGCTATTTCCTATATAATAACTATATTGTATTATAGATTGCTATCTTCTTCAATCTTCAAAACAGGCTTCCCAGAATAGTGTATTGTCTCTTGGACACCAATCTTTCTATTCTTACCACTTCCTCCTAAATGCTAAGTATGGATTATTTTATCCCCAGTGAATAATTTGCTTTGCTGTGCCTCTGGTACATATAAAGATAACTCAGATTTTTTTCACTAATACATGAAGGGTCACTCCCATACTGCATACTTCAGTCTGCAGGAAGCAAATAAACTTGGCAGCTTCTTGTTCATCATCAGTCTGCTGATGGAGCTAAATCTGAGATAACCTCCTAAGGTTTTTGTCTCTGGACAAACTCTTTGTTAGCAGCAAATGCAGAAAAGGAACAATTTTGATGGTCCATCTTTTTAAAGAATGTGATGGATTGATATTTCTTTTTTACAGCTGTGTCTAAGTCCTTCGTTTTAAGGCAAAATAAAAATTTAGCTCTTTAGAAGAATTTTAATTAATTCCAGTGATTTCTTTTTTTATATCCTAGATGAGGATGATTCTTTTTTTATATCCTAGATGAGGATGACTTCTTCCATCTATTTGAGCATCTTCTTATATGCTAGGTTACTAATTTTTTGCAGATTACTGACTGTCATTTCTTACTAATATATATGCATTTTTTTTTTTAGGCATAGATCATATTCTTTTAGTAATTTTGTGCTCTGCATCTAATCCTCAATAACTTTGTGGACTTTTAAATTTCTTCTGTTTCCCCAGAATCCTCACTTCTATGAGAGGAACAGAAAGATAGGACTTGAGCTAAACCAATTTAGATATGTTGGTCTCTAGGTGGCTCCAACAGTAAAGAATCTGCCTGTAATGTTGGAGACCTGTGTTCAATCCCTGGGTTGGGAAGATCCCCTGGAAAAGGAGCTGGCAGACCATTCCAGGATTTTTGCCTGGGAAATCCTATGGGCAGAGAAGCCTGGTGGGTTACATTCCATGGGATCACAGAGTCATAAGACTGAGTGACTAAACTCAAAAGACTGAGGTATGGTTCATGAGCATTATCAGATTAGATTGCATTATTAAATTCTCTCCTTTATTCCTTGACTGACATGTTACACAAAATGAGGTGTTCATTTATTCACATACATTAAAACAGCCCTCAAATTGCTGATGTAGCTAAAGTAACTAATATCTCTCTTGTTGAAAGCTTCATAACTAAATTCTTATCCTTTCTCTGGGACTTGCTGCTGCTGCTAACTTGTTTCAGTCATGTCCGACTCTTGGCAGACCTATGGACCATAGCCTACCAGGTGCCTCTGTCCATGGCACTTTTCAGGCAAGAACACTGGAGTGGGTTGCCATGCCCTCCTCCAGAGGATCTTCCTGACTCAGGGATTGAACCCACATCTCTTATGTCTCCTGCGTTGGCAGGCAGATTCTTTACCATTAGTACCACCTGGAAAACAAGAACTGTTAATTTTACCACTTGGGAAAGTGCCAGACCTGATGATGACAAGTTATTTAAGGAGAGCTGAATTGATTCATTAATACCTAACTCTAACTGCTATAAATATATTTACGTGTTCATTTTTGATTGCATATATAATGTTTTCATTTTTATTCATTTTATTTTAATCAGGTACAAAGAATTTTACGTGAAAGATTTTGTCATCAGAGTCCACATGATAACCTATTTGGAGTACAAGTACAATATAAGTAAGTTTAGCTACCCACTTATCTGTTAAGAAACTACTTATAGATACCCTTTAGGTTTTGCAGAAATTGCTATACACAGATTTTATCTTAAACAAAGATAGTGAACATTTTTATAGAGGTGTGAAGCAAGAGCAGATATACATATTTCCATAATGGGAAAAAACCCTTTAACTTTCAATCTTGTATCGTTTCTGTCATTTGATATTATGGAGAGCTTTCTGAGCTTGCCCCTGATGCTCAGCAGCCAGCTGTGGAGTGAGAGTTGCCACAGTTGTTCCTGTCCCATACCATCATAAAGACCTCAATATTTCAGTCTTACTTGGTTTCTTCTTGAGGTTTCTAGAGAATCAGTATTTCTGTTCTTCTCTGTAGGACTACTTTAAAAAAGTATTACCTAGCAAATTATTTCAGCTTTGCTTTTTAGATTTTGGCCTTTTTATATCATTTCAGACACTTAATTGAGCTGCTAAAAAGAACTGCTATCCATGGAGAAAGTAACTCTGTTCTCATTATTGGACCCCGAGGTTCAGGAAAGACCATGGTAAAAGCTGTTGATTTCTGGCATTCCTTTGCTTTGTAGGCATGTGATGATTCTTGTGGATAACATTGAAAATGTTTTTGATTACTGTCATCCTTGTGTTACTAGCATTTAAGTCACGCAGAGCCTTTATAAAGTTAGACTTGTTTATTTGAGTTAAGTGATCTGTTTTTACCTTATTTTTCCTCACAGTAACAAATTTTCAAATGTAATTTGTTCCATTGTGGTCTTTGGTCCTTCAAGAATTTGTGATTGCCAATGGACAAAGCAAACTGGCATTTATTGAGCATTTTCCTTGTACCTTTTATTTATATTCTGTTATCTGTTTTTTGCATTAACCCTGCAAGGTAGGCATGATATTGTCTCTATTTGTAGACTAGGTAGCTATCATATCAAGCACTTTTTTTTCTTTTAGTTTATTGTGTAACCCTAACCTAGGCAAGCTTTTTTAATATATACATTCACATCTTCTAGAGTTCTCTTCTACTTTCCATCTTTATTATATTACTTTAATTACCTCAAAAAGATAGCTCATGCTTTTTACCCATGTTTTCTCTTTTCCTTTCTTTACTCAGTACGTAAGACCAGCTATGGCTGTTACATTACAAATATTACTATATAATTGTATAATCTGCTTTTGCTATATTCCATGCAGTAAATTTAGATTTCTCACTAATATGTTTTACTGTGTATACAAGTAAAATTGTGTATTATGTATTATCTTATATTAGTAAAACTATGTAAAATAGAAATAGAATTATGTTTTTATTTTTTAAGCAATACAGTTTGACTGTACATTATGTAAAGATTGGGATATTAGGACTTTAGGATTTTACTGTCATTACCTGTTTCCAGTATTGTTTTTAGTACATAAATTGGGGGTTTAGATCTAAATAATTTATTTTCTTTTCAAATTTTTTCATTTATTATAATCACATTTATGACAATATTTATTTTTGACTCTTTTTAACTTAGATCAGTCCTTTGACTTAGTCCTTGTATACAACCACTATTTCTTTCTTCTTAGTTTTTTTATTATGAATTTTCTTTGTGTTTGACTTCAGTGCTATTTAGGGTAGTTTTTATAAGAAAGCTATGTGACTAATACACTTTTGAGCTATGAGACTATTATTAAAGCAACAACTCTATTAACAGTAGAAAAACTGAGGAAAGCTATGCACAGAAAGGTCATAGGAAATTAAATACAAATCAGTTTTAAACTTAGAAACATGTTTAATTTCACTCATAATCTTGTAAATAAAATAAAAATATTGTAACTTTTTCTATCAGGTTAACAAAAATCTATAAAATTGATAATATACTGATGATGTTCTTGCTGGTGGTGTAAATTAGAATTAGACAAAATCTAACCATATTACAAATGTGCATACCTTTTGACTCAGCAACATTTCTAGGAATTTATCTTTGTGAAATGGTATGTATACAGTTAGTCATTACAGCAATGTTTATTAGTAGTGCAGGATGAGAAACAGTATAAATGACCCTCAGAATACATCCATCCGTGTAATGGACTATGATACTGCAGTAAAAAAGAATATGGAAATATTTGTATATAGTCCAAAACAAGGGAAAAAAGTCATATTGTTGACTTATCTGTAAACAAAAGTTCCCTGAAATGTATATATTTAAATTTTTATTGGAGTATTGTTGATTTACAATGTTGTATTAGGTTCAGATATACAACAGAGTAAATTGGTTATACATATACATATATCCACTCTTTTTAGATTCTTATCCCATATAGGCCATTACAAAATATTGTGTAGAGTTCTCTGTACTATACAATAGGTCCTTATTAGTTGCCTATTTTATGTATGCTACTATGTATAAGTCAACCCCCGTCTCCCAATTTATCTGTCCCTGCTTTCTGCCTAGTAGCCACAAGTTTGTTTTCCATATCTGTGACATTGCTTCTGGTTTGTAAATAAGTTCAGTTGTACCCTTTTTTGTAAATATTCCACATATAAGTAATATCATATGATATTTGTCTGTGTCTAACTTACTTCACTTGATATGACAATCTCTGGGTTCACTCATGTACCTGCAGATGACATTATTTTGTTCTTTTTTTATGCCCGAGTAATATTCCATTCAGTTTTCATTCCAATCCCAAAGAAAGGAAACGCCAAAGATTGTTCAAACTACCACACAATTGCACTCATCTCTTATGTTAGCAAAGTAACACTCAAAATTCTCCAAGCCAGGCTTCAAGAGTACATGAATTGTAAACTTCCAGATGTTCAAGCTGAATTTAGAACAGGCAGAGGAACCAGAAATCAAATTGCCAGCATCCATTGCATCATCAAAAAAGCAAGAGAGTTCCAGAAAAACATCTCCTTCTGCTTGATTGACTATGCCAAAGCCTTTGACTATGTGGATCATAACTAACTGGAAAATTCTTAAAGAGATGGGGATACCAGACCCCCTGACCTATCTCCTGAGAAATCTGCAGGTCAAGAAGCAACAGTTAGAACTGGACATGGAACAACAGACTGGTTCTGAATTGGGAAAGGAGTATGTCAAGACTGTATATTGTCACCCTGCTTATTTAACTTATATGCAGAGTACATCATGAGAAATGCTGGACTGGATCAAGCATAAGTCAGGATCAAGATTGCCAGGAGAAATATCAATAACCTCAGAGATGCAGATGACACCACCCTTATGACAAAAAGCAAAGAAGAACTAAAGAGCCACTTGATGAAAAGGAAAGAGGAGAGTGAAAAAGTTGGCTTAAAGCTCAACATTCAGAAAACTAAGATCATGGCGTCCAGTCCTATCACTTCATGGCAAATAGATGGGAAAACAATGGAAACAGTGACAGACTTTATTTTGGTGGCTCCAGAATCACTTCAGATGGTGACTGCAGCCATGAAATTAAAAGATGCTTGCTCCTTTTAAGAAAAGCTATGATCAGCCTAGACAGCATATTAAAAAGCAGAGATATTACTTTGCCAACAGAGGTCTGTCTAGTCAAAGCTCTGGTTTTTCCAGTAGTCAGGTATGAATGTGAGAGTTGGATTATAGAGAAAACTGAGCACCGAAGAATTGATCCTTTTGAACTGTGGTGTTGGAAAAGACTCTTGAGAGTCCCATGGACTGCAAGGAGATCCGACCAGTCCATCCTAAAGGAAATCAGTCTTGAATATTCATTGGAAGGACTGATGCTGAAGCTGAAGCTCCTATTGGAGCTTGGAGTATTCTTTGAAGCCAAAGTATTCTTTGGCCACCTGATGGGAAGAGCCGACTCATTGCAAAAGACCCTGAGGTTGGGAAAGATTGAAGTCGGGAGAAGGGGACAACAGAGAATGAGATGGTTGGATGGCACTACTGACACGATGGACATGAGTTTCTGTAACTCTGGGAGTTGGTGATGAACAGGCAAGCCTGGCGTGCTGCAGTCCATGCGGTCACAAAAGAGTCAGATATGACTGAGCGAGTGGACTTACTGAATATTCCATTGGGTGTAAATATATATATGCACCATGTCTTCTTTACCCTCTCCTCTGCTGACAGACATTTAGGTTACTTCCATGCCCTGGCTATTGTAAATAGTGCTGTGGTTGAGCTGAACATTGAGGTGTATGAATCTTTTCAAATGATGGTTTTCTCTAGGTAAACTCCTAGGAATGGGTTTTCCGGGTCATGGTATTCTATTTTTAGTTTTTTAAGGAACTGCTATACTGTTCTCCATAGTGACTGTACCAGTGTAGATTCCCATCAACAGTATAGAAAGATTCTGTTTCTCCATACCCTCTCCAGCACGTATTGTTTGTTGATTTTATTGATGATGGCCATTCTGACCAGTGTGAAGTGATACTTCATTGTAGTTTTGATTTGCATTTCTCTAATTGTGATGTTGAACATTTTTTCAAGTGTTTTTTGGCCATTTTTATGTCTTATGTCTTCTTTATGGTGTGCTGCAGTCCATGGGGTCGCAGAGAGACACAACTTAGCCACCGAAAAATGTCAACAAATGTATTTGTTGAGTGGGGTATGGGAACAGAGGTTAAGGCTCTTTTCACTATATATCTTTTTATGCTTTTTGAGGGGTGAACTGTATGACCATGCAGTCTATTTTTAAAACTACGGAGTGGGAAGTTGGTTGAAGGCAAGGGAAAAAATACCAGCAGCCTAGTTAACAGACAAATCACTAAACTCCTTCAGAACACATAAATATAAAAGAGATAGGAAGTTGAGTAACATAGGAAAATGTAAAAAGAATATTTTAAATCAAAAATTATTTTTCACATTACGTGTAAATGACTGGGATTAAACTCTTCCATCACTTTTTTCTTCCCTCCCTTGAACTCCCATAAAGAGTTTATTCAATTTGTGTTTTATGGGAAAATTCCAATGGCAGACTTTTCTTTTCCCTTTATAAACTGCTGTTTCAGTCTGGATAGTTTCGATTATGCTGTCATACCAACCCTAAATTCAGTGTCTTGACACAAGTTTGTTGTTTGCTTTTGCTGTGTCCCCATTGTGTTACAGTTCAGTTCAGTTCAGTCACTCAGTCGTGTCCGACTCTTTGCGACCCCATGAATTGCAGCGCGCCAGGCCTCCCTGTCCATCACCAACTCCTGTAGTCTACTCAGACTCATGTCCTTCAAGTCGGTGACGCCATCCAGCCATCTCATCCTCTGTTGTCCCCTTCTCCTCCTGCCCCCAATCCCTCCCAGCATCAGGGTCTTTTCCAATGAGTCAGCTCTTCGCATGAGGTGGCCAAAGTATTGGAGTTTCAGCTTCAGCATCAGTCCTTCCAATGAACACCCAGGACTGATCTCCTTTAGGATGAACTGTTTGGATCTCCTTGTGGTCCAAGGGACTCTCAAGAGTCTTCTCCAACACCATAGTTCAAAAGCATCAATTTTTTGGCACTCAGCTTTCTTCACAGTCCAACTCTCACATCCATATATGACCACTGGAAAAACCATAGCCTTGACCAGATGGACCTTTGTTGGCAAAGTAATGTCTCTGCTTTTTAATATGCTATCTAGGTTGGTCATCACTTTCCTTCCAAGGAGTAAGTGTCTTTTAATTTCATTGCTGCAATCACCATCTGCAGTGATTTTGGAGCCCAAAAAAATAAAGTCTTACAGTAAGAGGTCACTATTCTCTGTCTTCACTCAGAAGAAATGGTGATGTTACCTCAGCATGTTCCTCCACTAACACCCCAGTGGTGGAAAGGAAGCCTGATGGATCAGGGACATTCTTAAGGTTCCCACCCAGAGGTGCTACAAAGCATATCTCATACTTCTCTGACCAGAGTCACAGAGTCCCACCTAGTTTCGAGAGAGCAGGGAAGTGCATTTTTACTAGGTACCTAGAAAGGAGGTTAACCAGAAGTATGGTGAATCTCACTGATGACCACCACAGTTAACTTGTTTGAGTTTATATGTGATTTTTCCTTATCTAGATGCTTGTAAAATTTGTTTCTTAGCAGTGTGAAAGTTTTACAGATTATATCAAAGTGTAGGTTATAAAAACTGTAACTCTGCAAACCCTCTTGATGTGAATTTAGGTCTGTCTTTAGTAAAAGGATGATTTTCCTTTTTTTTTCCAGTTTTAATTAACTTATTGTTTTTGGAAAACACATTATATACTATTTTTGAAGAACATTTTTACATGATACTTTGATTCTTCAAAGAACTCTATAGTGATACTCTTATATCAGTATAGGAGAAAACGAGATCTAAGAAATTAGTACATTAGACCTGTTATTCCATCATTCACTGTGTATCTTGAAATAAAATGACATACATCAGAGAAGTTGAATCTTAAGTGATTCAGGCATCAAAGTGTCGAACCTAAATGTATAATTTGAACAGTTAATGAGTTAATTTATTCTGAACTTTCATCTTGGAAGTTTGTCTCTTAAGGCATACAAAAAGTTTACAAAAAAGGCAATAGAGCTAGTGACTGCTTACAAAAATGTATAAGTAAATGCAAATTAAACCTGTATACTCCATTTCATTAGTAAATTGGCTAAAATAGATATATTTGTTACAGAAAAAGTAAGCAGATTGTACAGAGCTCCCACCTAATCTCTCTCTCACAGACACACGCTCATACATACACGCACACATGCACCGCGGCACAGTTTTCCCTGTCGTTAACATCTTGCCTTATTGTGGTACATTTGTTAAAATTAATGCAGCTATATTGAAACATTGCTAATTAAAGTTCATTGTTTACATTAAGGATTCTATAAGTCTATAGGTACAACACCATGTTCTGGTGCTTTGAAATAATTTATCTAATGTGATTTAACTTAAGTATGGAAAAACCCATACACATGGTATTCCATTATGGTATAATTTAATTTTTTCCTACTGCGCTCCAATACTGAGAGGTCAGAAAGCTGAGAAGCATTGTTCAACTCCTCACTTAGGATTTGTTGTGTGTGGGAGTATCCTGAGATATAAAATAGGTTATTCTTAGATAAGAGTATTATTATATCATATAATTAGTATAATTATATATATTATAGCTTAGTATAATCATGTGTTAGTAATATTATTAGTATAATTACAGAAATTTGGACTTAAAAAATAAGATTGCAGTATATTGAAAATAATACCCTTAGCCAAACTGTCTAAAATACAAAAATTGAAAATCTTCAGTTAAGTGGTAAAGATAACAAATTCTGTGGTTTGTTGTATTTCAAATATTTTATTTTAAAAATAGATATGGTTCCAAATGAGAGATTTGACTATGGAAAATACTCTTCTATATAGAAATTAGACTTGCTAGATGGTTAAAGTTTCTTCTAGTTTGTTTCTTCTGGTTGCATATTGTTGAATATTGTGTCCCTGAAAGTTTTCGGGAATAGTAATAAAAGCATAAAAACCTCTGGATGCTGGCAGTTCAAGAAAACTATACAAGTATATTTGTAACATTAATTTTTAGCTACAAAGAATGTGGAAATGGGGTATCCAAATTGAAAAGATGACATTGTCTTGGGAAAAAAAAATCTGACTTATATGATTGTTAACCTAGCTAATTACACAGTAAATTTTAGCAATATCCAGAGTGAAACTAAAATTATTATTTGAAGACATGCTTGCCTAATACATTGAAATGATCATTTCAGACCACACACACACCCATCATGAAAAAGTTTTACGCTAATTCATGCAAATCATAGTAACTTGATGTTAAAGTAAATTTAGTGGAAAGAAGGCTATAAACCTGTCATAACTCTCCCCTTACATATATAAAATGAAGGTATTATTATTGACCCTGTTTCATTCTGCAAAGAATTTGAAATGATTTTGAACAATTTATCAAATCTAAAGTGATTTTAAACATAAAATCAGAGCCAGGGAAATATAAATATTATGTAAGTAAAATATCAAGAGGTAGGTGCAAGAACATAGCAGATTGCTAAGAAAATGCCATATAGGCTATATTTTGAGAAGCAAGTTATTATCATTTGGGGACTAAATCTGGTGATAGGATCTGACTTGATCCAAAGACAGAGAAGTACCACCTCATCTTCTGACAGGTTTCTCTAAGAATGTAACTTTTCTCTGCTGGGCTTTTACTTATAGTATGACAGTTGACATTAGAGATTGTCTTTCTTTTTTATTTTTAAAGGATTTAGATTACTTGTGATCTGAGGTGGACTACCATACGCTTTAAATATGTTTGATATCCTGTTGTGAAATCTGATGATTTGAAATGAGGGATTTTGCTTTTTGTTGTTGTTGTACAAAGATATTGCAGTGACAAATAGAGGTAAAATACTGCAAATACAAGTAGTAGTTTGTTTTTCAAAATAGTTACCAGTTATCTCAGTGACTTTGTGGAATAATCCGTTTTGTCCTCATTAAGTTTGATGCCACTTTTGTTGTATACATAGCCTAATTTCCTGAGCTATCTATTTTGTGATAGTACCCTTCTACTTCCTGTTTTTCATATTAGCAAGAATAATCAATCACACTTCCTTTTTAAAATCTTCTTGTTTTTTCTTAATTCTATTTTCAAATTTCACAAAATATATGTAGTATTAATATGAAGAAATTATATGATAGTGCAGTATGAATGATAAGATGTCACAAATCAAAAATATAAAGAATGTTAAGTATGTGGCATAGTTAAAAATGTGAAGCTTTACAATTGAACAGTTTAAGATGGTTTAACACTTTCTGGGTATTTTTAGTAATAATTACTATTATATTTTGGGCTTCCCAGATGATGCTAGTGGTAAAGAACCCACCTGCCAGTGCAGGAGACATGAGACATGGGTTTGATCCCTGAGTTGGGAAGATCCCCTGGAGGAGGGAATGGCGACCCATCTCAGTATTCTTGCCTGGAAAATTCCATGGACAGAGGAGCTTGGCAGGCTACCGTCCTTGGAGTTGCAAAGAGTCAGACACGACTGAAGCAACTTACCATGCACACACTTTAATTTGAAGTATATTGCTAGTAGTAATAATTTTAATATTGTGAGATCTAAGGTACTTTAATAAGGGCTTTCTCTGCTTACCTAACAACTAACAAAGGCAACATCTCATATTTGGCTTAACATCTTTGTATTTCTTTTTTGATTTTCATTTCAAGGTAACGTGCAAAGTAGTTCATGGTATTTCACAGAAATTGGTATAGTGAGGGTAGATATTTTGCAGTCATTTAGTATTGTTCTGGTACTTATTTTCAATAGCTTTTAACTGATTTCAATAATAATTTTGTGTAGACATGTAATGAACTGACTGAGACGTAAAGTTCTTAAATGCCTATAGTTTTATGTGACTTCTACTGCAAAGAAGTATTTCCTTTGAAAACTTAAGGGTTATTTCTAAACATTTATTAGAAGTTTGGGTAGCTGACTGAGAGAATGTGGCATCAGTCCTGGTTCTGACATCTTACTAAATCAGACATTAGAATTTCTAGTTGAACTTTCTGTCTGTAGAGAATCTGCAAATTTAATTGTTAATTTTAAGTGACAGCTGTTAATATTCTGTTCCTATTACTCATAGTTTAAAAAAGAATATGGGCTTATCATCTTTTACTTGTTATTAAATATTTCATAAACTTTTTAATATCATTTAGTTAATAAACCATGCTTTGAAAGAACTAATGGAAGTAGAAGGAGTGAGTGAAAATGTATTACAAGTTCACTTAAATGGTAAGTATGTTCTCATTTTGCCATTGGAATGATGTAAGCATATGAGCTTTTTACATTATAAGACTAAATTTACTCATATATTATAAATCTGCATTAATAACTATTTTTAAAACTAAATCTTTGTCTAACAGACTTTTACTTTAGCACACTATGCACAATATTTTTAGGAATTTAAAAAAATAATAAAGACACATAAGGTCTCATTTTTTTGTATTGATTTTCTTCTCTTTTTATTTATTTATTTTAATTGGAGGCTAATTACTTTACAATATTGTAGTGGTTTTGCCATACATTGATATGAATCAGCCATGGGTGTACATGTCTTCTTATCTTTTTTTAAAATAACACTAATTCCAAGGAAGATGGTTCTTGAAGTCTATTAAATGCTTCCACTATTAAATTTTAAAAAGTAAGTAATGTAAACTAAAAAGTTTTGACTTTTTCTTTCTAGTTAAATTTTTAAAAGCATTAAAAAACTTACTTGACTAGAAAATAATCTGCATTGTATCAAATACTTCCTTCATTTTTATGGCCTACTTTTAAATGGGCTTTATTTCAGGACTGCTGCAGATCAATGATAAAATTGCCCTAAAGGAAATCACAAGACAGTTAAATCTGGAAAATGTAGTTGGAGATAAAGTTTTTGTAAGTATCATTTTCATTATTTTATTAAATAGAATTCAAAGGAAAGTCTGTATAGGATGGGCCTGTTTATATTTTGCAAGAGTAGGAATCGGTTCAGAGATTCTAAATCGAAATATACAAGATTCTTATCATAAGAATGTGCAATGTAGAGGATGCATTTATTCATCAAATCTCTTAAGTCTAGACTTTTTGAAGTGGACTTTATTGGTGATATCAGGGCTTCCCTGGTGGCTCAGACAGTAAGGAATCTGCAATCTGCCTGCAGTGCAGGACACCTGGGTTCAGTCCCGGGGTCAGAATGATCTCCTGGAGAAGGGAATGGCAACTCACTCCAGTATTCTTGCCTGAAAAATCCCATGCACAGAGGAGATTGGCGGGCTACAATCCGTGCGGTCGCAGAGAGTCAGGCATGCCTGAGGGGCTTTCACTTTCACTTTTCATATTAGTTATAAAATCATTTAAGAAATCGAGATTTGTTTAAATATTATCTGAGTTGTTTCTTTGTTTGTAAGACAAATATTTTGATTCTCTACCTCTTGCCCTACCTACTTTGGAAATAATATTTCTTGACAGCATGTAATCATCACAAAATATGTAGAAGCTCTTTAAAACATATTATGTTATTTTATGTCAGATATCTCTCAACTGGGAGACAAACAAGTGGGTATCTTTTGTCCTTTACATCTCCTCTAGTTTAAAGTTGACTGTTTCTTTAAATTAAGAAATTTGAATGAAGTAAAAATTAAGGACTTCCAGTGAAAAAATATTTTAACAAGGCCTTTATCCACAAGCTGGAACATCTGGATAATGCATCTGCTACTCTGTTAATTTCCATCCAGAATATTTAAATTGTACCCAAAAATGTATTGGCTGTGATCCAAGCAAAGACAGTCAAATTTTATATGATATATACAAATTCTGTAATCTGCTCTTCAATAGAGAAACACTGTTGTATTGTCTAATGTTTGAGGCAGGTTTCTTCTTCCTTTTCCTTTGGGATCGCATTCAAATTTATGGTCATTTTTTTAGTGGTACAGGTTTGAGACTCGCAACAGGCTGACACATTTAGAAGATACAAAGTACAGTGAATTTCTTTTTTTCTCTGATTGTGTTTAGAGTGTAGCAACTCTTAAAAACTACCTTTGATTAAATTTTTACAGATTTTATCCAGAAAATATAAAATTTTGAACATGGCATAATCCCATTTTCAGTGTTATGCCATCTCTACTTTAAATTAAAGTTTTATATTGTAAACATACAAGAGATGGAGCTCAGAATCTGGCCAATGACTTTCATTTACTAGAAAAATAGATAAACTCTCTATACAGTGTCTGGAGTCATATAGCCTTCTTTTATTCTTTATTTTGCTAAACTTCTAGTCATGATGTCTTGTTTTTGTTATTCAGGGTAGCTCTGCTGAAAACCTTTCATTTCTTCTGGAAGCTTTAAAAAAAGGTAAATATTAGCTTATCAGTAGTTTAGCTTTATTTTTCCTTTGATCATATGCTTTATAAAAAATAAATATAAAAAAGAAATAATGACTACTGAAATCCCTATTAATAGTGATTATTCCAATTAACATTTTATTTCATATCTTTATTCACCTGTAGTATATCATTAGTATAATTTTTATAAGGATGAAATGCTTTTTATTTTATTGTGAGATGTACATCTTTGCAGTTACTCATAGTATGTTGTAAGCATCTTTCCATGTCTGTAAATATTGAGTGCATGATCATGTTTATGGTTCTCATATATCTTCATTTAAAAAATATAGCTATTTTAAAATTGTAACATAAAAAAATAAAATTGTAACTTAATAAATTATAACTTATTAATACCAGCTATCAACTTTTATTTCTGATTTTTATAATTAGGAAGAAATGCTTAAATGACCATCCAGATTTCCTGGGGTAATTTCAGTGAGTAGAATACTGGGTTAAAAGGTTTCACATTTAAAAGTATAAATATTAATTACCAAATTACCCCAGAAGATCCATTTTCTAAACATATTTTAAAAGTACTTTTTTTTTCCAGAACCTCAAAAGCAATTTTTTGTTTGCTTTTTTAATAAGAAAATATTTTCAGTTTAATTTTAATAATTTGGGTACTCATGATGTTCATATCAAATTTCAATTGGCCACTGATATTTCCTGATTTGTGTTTTTCCTATTCTTTGCTTTATTTTGGTGGTTTACCTCATACTTATTATGAGAATTCTTGCACTCATTTTTTTCTTTTCTTAATTTTGGTTTGGACTTTTCTAATGACTAGAAGTTTTAAATTATTTACATAGTCAAAAATTTTCTCTTCTTCACAACTTTAAAGACATCCACTTATATTTTTATCCAGTATGTACACTTATAATTCATAGTTTAGCTGGAATTTGTTTTGGAAAGACATAAAGTAGAGATGGCTTCAATATACCAATTCTCCCATTGTTATGTAATACTATATTTTATCAAAAATGAAGTTTCTGTATTATGTAGGTCTGTGTCTAGACTTCTCAGTGGTACTTGTGGTTTTCATGTCTTTTAGATTAATGTATATGTTTTATTATGTTTTAGACGTATTATCCAAACTATAATATCTGATAATAATAATTAAAATAATTATTAATCAACCTGTTCATTACCAGGTTTTTTTCACTTGTTTATGCAGATATAAAGCCTTTGACCTTAAGGAAATAGTACTTGTTCTCCTAAAGCACTTTCCATTGTTTTAGTGAGAAAAATGAATCCAGAGTCACGTGGAAGTTTTCCCTATTTTTGAAATATTGAAATTGTCATTAGTAGGAATTAAAGTAGCTTTGGTTAAACTTCATAGTGTTACTATTGTTTATAAAAATTATTTCCAGGGGAAGATTTACTTTGCATTTCTAACTAAAAGTGAGTCTGTTTTGAAGTAATAGTTTTATGACTCTTATATTTAATCTGAAAGTATTTTGGTCTATGTAGGTTAAAAAATCTTTGTCCATTTTCTGATGATAGAAGAATTATTTGCATAATTTAAAAAACAATAGTCTTCAATCATTTAAATGATTTTCCTAACTTTTCATCAGTAAAGCTACTAGAAGTCTGGTTGATTAGACTGAATTACTTGAGAGCAATAGGAGCTATTTTGTCTTTTGAATAATTTTTTTGTTGAATAATTATACATGCATTGGTCAGTACCCTACCCAAAGCAGGTTAATAATGTACTTTTGTTGAATTGATCAGAAAATGAATTGTACTAAATAGTTTGGAAATTTAAGAAAGGTTGATATAACTCCTTATTAGTATAAAACTCTTATTTTCTCTTAGGTGACCGGACTAGTAGTTGCCCAGTGATCTTCATATTAGATGAATTTGATCTTTTTGCTCATCACAAAAACCAAACACTCCTCTATAACCTTCTTGACATTTCTCAGTCTGCACAGACTCCAGTAGCAATTATTGGTCTTACATGCAGATTGGTAAGTCTTTCTATTTAAAAAAAATTGATTATAATATTTAGAAAATTAAAGCTTAATTACTGACTTAGTTACTGTGTAGCTCACTAATGTATTTCATTAGTGCTTGGTGCATTTATGCCACTTTTTAACTCAAAGGAAACAAGGAAACATTTATCACACATGTTTGTAGCCTAATACCTCCCTCCATTTCACTTGGATTACTGAATAAAAAATGTGAAAGTGAGATTTTGCTAATAAATATTATACAATTCTACATTAGTAAATGAAGAGAATGTTAACCTCACCACCATTTTATAAAAATTGCTAATGGTTTCTCATACTTTTTATATTTAAGATTCTTTCCATATTTTAAAAGTGCTTGGAATCAGCTCAAAATGATACTAACCCAACTTTGTAGGTGCACATCTCTGGAAATGGAAGGGCTTAATTCTGTCAGGTTATCATAGTAGTCAGTAGCTTCTTTACTCCTTGGGAGATTTTAGAATGATTTTATTTCAAGTCTTAATGTCACTATCACATTACTTTGTGAAGACTCCATGCACATTAAACCTTGTTTAAACTTCAGACAGTTTATGTAGGTCTGTTTGTGTTTACTCTCTCTCTTTTTTAAAATTTTCCCTGGAAGTTGGGTGTACCATTCTTGAAAGTACTGCAATACCTGATCGATGGGTGGAGTGGATGGAACAAACTCCCTTTCCATCTCCTAGTTCCAGAAATACATTTAATTCATTATCCTCAGAATATGTATCAGATACTAAACTGACAAGAATATATACTACTAGGCAAACAGCCAAAAAGTATTGTGTTTACCTTCTTTTAATCTCCTTATATGAACTTTCTTATTGAACTCAGGTAAAACTGGTATTTAAGAGTCATCTTAATACTAATGTGAGTCATCTTAATACTAATACTATGGCTGCCATGCATTCATAATTTCTATCCTTTTTCTTCCTTCATTTTTAGCAGGCTTATATCAGTCTCTTGCACTTATCTTGCTTATCTACAGCTCCTTTTCTTTTTTAGATGTGAAGCTCTATACTAAGTCATCTTTGAACAGTCCTGCCAGTACTATTTCTCTGAAGTTCAGTTCAGTCACTCAGTTGTGTACGACTTTTTGCGACCCCATGAACCGCAGCACACCACGCCTTCCTGTCCATCACCAACTGCCGGTGTCCACCCAGACCCATGTCCATTGAGTCGGTGATGCCAGCCAACCATCTCATCCTCTGTCGTCCCCTTTTCCTCCTGCCCTCAATCTTTGCCAGCATCAGGGTCTTTTCCAATGAGTCAGCTCTTCGCATCAGGTGGCCAAAGTATTGGAGTTTCAGCTTCAGCATCAGTCCTTCTAGTGAACACCCAGGACTGATCTCCCTTAGGATGGACTGGTTGGATCTCACTGCAGTCCAAGGGACTCTCAAGAGTCTTCTCCAACACCACAGTTCAAAAGCATCAATTCTTCGGCGCTCACCTTTCTTTATAGTCCAACTCTCACATCTGTACATGACTACTGGAAAAACCATAGCCTTGACTAGACGGACCTTTGTTGGCAAAGTAATGTCTCTGCTTTTTAATATGCTTTCTAGGTTGGTCATAACTTTCCTTCCAAGGAGCAAGCATCTTTTAATTTCATGGATGCAGTCACCATCTG